CACTCTAATCACTGCACTGGACATGGGAAAACAGTGTCCTCGCCTCATCCCCACCCCCACACACTGCAGGCCATGTGCTCCTCACCCACTCAGCAAAGGACTACATCCACTTCAGAATCCCCTAGGGCCAGTTCCTTTGCCCATTGCAACCTGAGTTCCCTGAGAATGAGTTCATCCAAAACAAAGCTAGCTTCCTCCCAGAAACAGGCCTAGAGATTGGTCATTTTCATCCCTCAGAGGTCCACCCACCCCCTGCTGTCACTGATTGGACCAGCTCCTTGCTCCACCTCTCTCCCAAGACTTTTTACAAGAGAAGTTCTAAGGCAAAGATTCTCAACCTGTGGGTCGCAACCCATTGGGGGTTGAATGACCCTTTTACAAGGGTCTCATATTAGATATCCTGCATATCAGATATTTACATTATAATTCACAACAGTAGCAAAATTATTTATGAAGTAGCAACAAAAATAATTTTACGGTTGGTGGTCACAACATGAAGAAGTGTATTAAAGGGCCCAAGCGTTAGGAGGAACCACTGTTCTGAGGGAAGTGGGGAGTGATCCTGGAGCACTAGGTAAGTCACTGCAAAGGCAGGTTGACCTGGCTTGTTCCCATTTTGGCAAACTTAGGCTTTACCCTGTATATTCTGGGACCCTGTGGACAGAAGACAACAGCCTTCCTTACCAACTATAGATCACCTGTTTTCCCAGCATGTGTCTGGAGCTGTACTTTTGTTTGTTTTCTTTCTTTCTTTTTTTTTTTTTTTTTTTTTTTGGTTTTTCAAGACAGGGTTCCTCTGTGTAGCTTTGCACCTTTCCTGGAACTCACTCTGTAGTCCAGGCTGGCCTCGAACTCACAGAGATCCACCTGGCTCTGCCTCCCGAGTGCTGGGATTAAAGGCATGCGCCACCACCGCCCGGCTTGTTTGTTTTTCGAGACGGGGTTTCTCTGTGTAGCCCTGGCTGTCGTGGAATTCACTCTGTAGACCAGGCTGGGCTGGAACTCGGAGATCCACCTGCCTCTGCCTCCTGAGTGCTGGGATTAAAGGTGTGCACCACCACCTGGCTAGGAGCCGTACAATTTGATGAAGGGCGTTCTCTGGGTTTCCAGGGCACCCAGGCTCCAGGGTCCACTCAGAGAGTAAGTCACCATTGCCCTGTCCCCACTTGTTTCTCGTGTAGTGTCCTTTGCCCCCGAGTACAGACTAAGAGAACCCAACGGCACAGCCAGATGTGCCTAGCCACTAGCCAAGACTCTCCCAGATCCCACAGTACCCTATTAGGCTACCCCCCTGCCTCGGATGCTCTCGGGCTCGAGAAAGGAGAGACGAAGAATCCAACAAACCCACATCGTGGAAGTTAGACTCCATGGGGACACGAGGTCTAAAAGTAAGAGAGAGCTAGGAGAGGAGAGCAGGCAAAGGATGCGGTCTCCCCCTCCCCACCCACCCCCGTTTATTTGTTAGTTTGAATCAGAGAACAACTTGCAGGAGTCGTTCTCTTTCCAACATACGCATCATGGGATCTAATTCAGGCAAACGCCTTTATCAACTAAGACATCTTGCTAGGACGGGTAGTTACAGATTCCCAAATCCATAATACACCAGAATTCAAACTTTGCAGGCTGGAACCCAAGCCAGCGGAAAGCCAGGGCCTGAACTTGCCACGCCCATTTCCCTGCAGGTTTCCTTTTAGGAGGGAGAATGGTGCACGCGAATAGATACACTTGCCTGAATCCCGCAGGTAAGCCTGTGCACCACGCACGGACTCGGCTCCGCCCGCCTCTCTGCTCCAGTCCTGCCCACATGGGGGATGGGAGAAAACTCCCCTCCCAGCTAGGCTGAGCAGTTGAGACCCTCCCTCCCTAAAAGGCATTCCCTCCCACAGCCCGAATCCCCTATGCTTGCGGCATTCGTGACCCACCCACAGTTCACCTCATCAGCCCCGCCCACTCTTGGCCGTTCAGTCCTATAGCGCCACCTCCTGGAAGTCGGCGACATTGTTCCTCTTTGGGGGCTGGGGCTGATCCACTCCCTGCTGGGCTCCCATGCTGAGCCACTATCAAAGTGAGACCTAACTCTAGCCCTGACCCTGACCCTTCCTAGAAGCCTAGGCTTCACAGAACCCGCTGGAGACGTGGTCTCAGCTGAGATTCGAGTCACTTCCAGCAAATGAGGAGGCACTGGAGGATAGTGGGGCAAGACTCCATGCTTAGGTGTCAGTGTTGCCCATACCCCAGGGTGTCCCAGCACATGGGCACCCCACCTTTAAACTACTGTCTCCTCTGCACCTTCTAGAGTCCTCACAAAGAAGTGGCAGGACCATCCCTCATTAGGGGACTTATTTAAACCCTTGCTCTTCTACCATATGAACAAATAATAGTGTTTGGGGCACACTTAGGGCTGCTGGAACCCGCCTTACTAGCTCCAAGTTTAGCCAACTTCCCACCTTCTGGGATGCGTCAGAGTGGTCTAGAAAGTGAAGTACGTCACTTTTCTTTTTATTTTGGCTTTTCGAGACAGGGTTTATCTGTGTAACAGTCCTGGCTGTCCTAGAATTCACTCTGTAGACCAGACTGGCCTTGAACTCACACAGATACACCTGCCTGGGCCTCCGGAGTGCTGGGGTTAAAGGCATGCGCCATTACACCCGACATCTTTTCTTCTTAATGTTTAAAGATTTGTTTTATTTATGTGTGTGTGTGTGTGTGTGTGTGTGTGTGTCTATGTTAACTGTATGCCATGTGTGTGGGTGCCCATAAAGACCAGAAGAGGGCATCCAGAACATGGTGAGCCACCAGATGTGGGTGTTGAGACACTGAATTTAGGTCCTCAGGACAAACAGCAAGTGCTCTTACCTGCTGAGCCACACATCTTTCCTGATAGCCACCTACCTCCATCTTTTGAGACAAGATCTTGCTATGTAGTCTTGGCTGGACTGGAACTCCCTATGTAGACCAGACTGGCCTCAAACTCATATAGAGATCCATCTGTCTCTGACTCATGAATGCTAGATTACAGGTGTGTGCCACATCTGGTTTCTTGTTTTATTTTTGGTTGTGAGCACAGCCTTTAATGGCTGAGCCATCTCCCCAGCCCGGTTGTTTTCTTAAGACCAAGTCTAATGTAGCCCAGACTCACCTCGAATTTGCTCTGTAGCCAAGGTTGTCCTTGAACCTGCTCCTAATGCCGCCACATGACACAGGCCAGGGTTACAGGCATGTACCACTGTGCTGGGCTGATCTGAATTTTTAGGATAGCAATACTGAAACTGAAACTTAGGCATGAAAGACTGGCACTTGAGATAGGCCTTCTGTCTGACAGGAAGCAGGGAAGAGCTTCTCCTAGATCATTTGGTTGGAACACGAAGAAACAAGCTAGAAACTATAACTTGGCAAGTAGTGTGAAACCTCTAGAAGGTCAGGCTAGCCACAATTCCTAACCACACAAGGCTCTCCAGGATCTTGGCTCTCAAGGCAATGCCTTTACGTGAGATTGGTAAGAGTTCAGACCCCTCCACTTTGCTTTCTTCTCTCTTTCCAGGCTGGCTCAGTGACCGTGATCCATTGTCTCAACTCCATTCCCTAGTTCATTGGGCATCCTAGAGTCCTGTGAGACAGCACCAACCTTACCTCAACACCACACTGGAAAGCCATGATGAAGGGGTCCCAGGAAGTGGCCCTGAGCCAAATCAAGTAGAAAAGCAGGTTCCTGAGTCCCTTTCTGCCTGCCCCCCACCCCGTCACTTTGTGTCTAGCTCAGAAGACATAGGCAGACTCACCTCCATCAAGAAAAGATCACAGGGACTTGGCTGGAGTGCTGGGAAGCAGACGTCTACCGGGCTCAACAGATACTCACCTCCTGCAAAGGAGGCAGGGAGCAGCAGGCAGATCCGTATGCAGCCTGCAGCGTCTCTTCTTCCTGCACTGTCATCCTGAGTTAGACATTAAGTTGGGCTTTCTGAGGGTCAGCTTAACTGAGAGCAACTGTAGGGTCATTTCCTGTGCTCCTACTGCTAGGTCTAGAAGGTTAAGGTACCTGTCTTTGAAGACATGTCGGAACAGTCTTAACTGAGACAGTGTCTTTAGACACATCTCAAATCCCAGGCTGGCCTCAGACTTACTAAGTAGCTGACTTTGTCTTTGAATTCCTCGTCCTCTAAGCTCCACCTCCCAATTCTGGGGATACAGGTATGCAGCACCCGGCCTGCTTGAGACAAAGCCTTTGTGCCCAGGTTTGCTTTGCCTGGGCACTTTCAACATGCTGCACATTTAAAAATGGTCCTAACTCCCGCCATTGCTGGAGCATCAGGGAAAATGAGTGCAAACCTGATGGTGAGCTGACAGAGGCAGAGAGAAGTCAGGAGAGGCACCAGTTTCTCTGTAACCAATGGCCCTCCGGCAACAACTGTTCTGTCTCCACTTCCCATGCGTAAGCACTGTCCCAGGAAAACACACCTGCCCTTTCTACAGAGATGCCTGTCTATATCTAGACAGGCACTTAGGGTTAGCCACCCAGAATCCAGAAGCTCAAGAACAGAACACACCCTGGCTAGTGGCCGGCCAATCCCAAGCCTATAGGTAGTTTTGGGTAGAGGCTGGAGTGGAAGCTTGTCAGCATACCTCCACCCCACTCTTCAGGGGGCTCAGCCCGAAAGAGACCTGCTCAGAGCTGCCCCTTCTGAGGCAGGAAGCCTTTCCCATCCTCCTCCTCTCCACTCAGTCTCACCAGATTCCAAGCCACACCCTACCCTTGGAAATGAAGAAACTAAGGACCAAAATTAGTCTTAACTGGCTCAAAGGCAGGAGGAGTGCCAAAAGGAGCCTCCATAGTGGCAGAGTCCCTGGAACCCAAACCCAGCCTTCCCATGGGTACAGAAATGCTTGAGCCTCTGTGCAGGCGGCTGGGCTGGCTGAGTCATTCCTTGACATATTCCCTCCTATCCTTCATTCCCAGGAACCTTAAGAGATCAGGTATAAATAGACAGTCAAAGGCAATGGCATTGTAATAAAGACACTGCTTTTATTTAGTTTGATATGTTTCTATACAGAATGCAGAAAACACATCTTAAAATCATATAGAAGGAAATAAAAACACATCAGTGGTTGGTGAACACTTGAATGTGAGATTGGCTCTCCGTCTCAGAGTCCGATGGCCATCGCCAGCTCAGGGCTCAGGGAGGAGGCTGCCTGCAAAGGCATTGTTGCTCTTGTTATTCTGTTCACTGCCCCATTGCCTCCAGTTGCTATGACAACAGGCCACTCTGGGCCAGCCTCCTCTCTACATGGCAATGCCCAATGGTGGGGTTGCTAAGAGCAACAGAACTAACTATCTGGAAGGCTTTCCAAAGCCTTCACCTGGAATATTGGGATTTACTTATTATTTATTTTTGATGAGGTCACCAGAAATAATTTCATCAGGCTAGATCCCTGTTCCTGACTCTGGGACATCAGGGAAACTCCAACTTGGACCAGAGCTTGGAGGCACAAGGCCCAGTTACCAGCCACCCATGAAGCACTCATCTGCAGACTCCCCCATGGGGCACTGCTCACTGTAGAGAACCCTGCTGGGGGCTGAACAGGAAGGGTAGACCCTGTGGAGAATGCAGGGGGAACAACCCTTTGGAAACAGCACATCCCTCCTACCGGTTTTCCCTTCCTGAGACAGCATACCCTCTGCTAAACAGTCGATATGGCTTAGAAGTTACTGCTCCGTGTGCAAAGGGAGCCTGGGTCCACCCACCCGCCCTCCATCAGGGAAGGGATACATTATTGCAAAAGGCATTCCTCCCTAAAAGGTACCCGAAATAACTCAGACATCAAGAAAAGGCATGCTCAAAATGGTTTCTTCCAAAGGAGGAGAATCAAAGCAGAGTGGGTGCCCCTGAGTCATGGGACAGAGATACAGATGGATGGACGGTGTTCTGCTAAAAAAAAGGCAAAGGAAGCCTCTATGTAACCCAGAATTAAACCCATTAGGAAAAGAAGGGGGGGGGGTCAAAATGAGCAAAGCCATCAGTTCCATGGAATCAACACTAGGAGCTTGTACAAACTGCTGTTAAGCATCACCGTTTTTTAATCTTTTTTTTAATAAAACAATTTGAGGCTGTATAAAAACTTTAGTAAAAAATTAGCTTTGAGAGCCCACAGATTTTTGCTAAGAACTATTGCTGGCACTCCTCCCCAGCCACCAGACCTTTCCCAGTTGTTCAGGCCCAAGGCCCAGGACTGGAGCGCCAGAGAAGAGGGGATGGGGTGCATGGGGTGGGGCTGTGGACTGGGGACAAAGTGGCCAAGGTCAAGTGAGGAAAGATCATCACATGACATAAAAATATTGCATCTTCACCAAAATGTCCCCCACTGAGTGTTTCAAAGACCATGATACTCCTTTTAAGAGGGAAGAAAAAAGAAAAACAAACAAAACAAAAACCCACGGAGAAGGAAAAAAAAGGTTGATGTGGTCGAGTCCTTCGACCTTCCCAGGTGCCCCTACGAGCAGCTGGCCCACCTTGGAGCACCTAGGTTGGGGGCCACAGCCACCAATGCCTCTTGGAGTCCCTTTTCCACAGAAATGAAGACCCCCTCAGTGGTAGGCCACTAGCGTGCACGGGGTAGAGGTCAGGATGTCCATGGCCCAAGAGGCCCCTCCAGCTTCCAGCCCCTGGCAATAGCGGGAGAGCAAACCCAGCACCAGGGCCCTGGCACCAGAACCAGGGCCAGGAGGCCCTCAGTCAGGCTCTGGGGTATCAGAGCAACCAAGTTGACATAGTGTGAAAAAATAGGATTCCTTTGATAAAAAATACTGTCCCTTGGTCTTCTCTAAGTTTGAAACACCCTGGGAGCTTATTTTTAGCAAAGCAATTCCCCATACCCACCCAAAAATTATACGTACAAGTTTAGGTAAACAGCAGATTAAATGTAAAAACTTAACCTTAACTTCTGAAAGTCCTTTGAATTTAATCTTTAGCTACTGTTTTCCATGTTACATCCTGCAGCTAGACACACGTGAATAGAAAAAACAGTACAGTTAGTGTTAAAGGCAAAATGCAGAGAGCTGGGGGCCACCCAGCACTGCCTGCGAGTTCATTCACGGTTCCTCGCTCCCTCCTCCTACCTCTACTCAAACAGTGCTTTCAGAGCCAGCCATCAAAACGCAGCGAAGAATTTTCTATGAACAAACAAAAAGCTGTTAGGCAAAAAATAAAAATAAAAAAGTCCCCAAAGTCTCTCCAGCAGCTTTGGGGTTTGGGAGGACCAGAGAGGGCGGGCTTGTCCAGGCCCTGTGTGTCAGTGTGTGCTAGGTCAGGTGTTGGCTACCGGTAGGCAATGGTCTGTGGGCCACCGGTCTCTACAGACAACACCGAGTTGTCTCCAGGCCCCTGCCCTACCCCTGCCTCCACCCAGGCGCTTGTGGGTTAAGGGGGGACATACGGAGGGGGTGATCGGTATGGGGTCATGTTCTTGGGACGAGAACCCTTGCCCTCCATGGGAGCCGTGAAGGGTGGTGGTGGCTGGTAGGGAGGTGCATTAGGATCCTCATCCCGCAGAGGTGTGTACTCTCCCACAGTGTCCTGGTTCAGAGGAGTGGTCTCGGGCACGCTCTGGTTGGGGTACTCAGGAGGTGGGAGGGGAGCCTTCTCTTCCTGCAAGATGAGTGGCATGCTGGAAGAGGGTGGGGGCTTGGAGTCATCCAGCTCATCTGCAAAGATGATAGGCACCCCCTTTTTGATAAAGGTGGCCTGGTCCTCAAGGGTCAGCTTGCCCTTCCGCTTCTTACGATAGCAGATCATAGCAATGATTCCAGCAATGAGCAGGATGGCTGCAACCACAACAGCTGGAATGACTGTGTGCAGGTAAACATCATCCTCACTGCTCTTCTCTGGGTCCCTGTCTGGAACCTCTGTGGCTGGTGCTGCTGAGGTTCCAGGAGAGGGCGGTGCCACAGGGATAAACTGCAGGTGCCGACAACTGCCAGAGCCTGTCACGGCAATACTCACAGCCTTAAAGTCAGGCTCCAGAGCATTGGAGAAGGCAGGCCGAGGTTTCCCGTTTTCATCAGCAATCCTGCGGCTCAGCCCTATGATCTGCTCCTTGGGGCAGGGCTCCAGGGGCAGTGTGTTGTTGGTCCATTCTACCACAATAGAGCCACGGGTGATGTTCTGAAGGGTGACACTGCTGCAGTTTCGGTCCCCAAAGGCAAAAGCTAGCTTCTTCACCAAAGCAATTTTCTTGTGGATGTCATTCACCACTGGTGCTGGGTCACCTGTAAACTTGGCCTTGAACCGCGCAGGAGCTTTATCCCCTTGTGGGCGCTTGTGAACATGGATCTCGAAGGCGTCCACAGCAGAAAGGCCCCCTTTGTCTGTGGCATGCATGAAATACTCATGCTTTCCCACATGGCTGCTATCAGGCAGGCCATACATGAGCTGGCTGTTGCTGTTGAACTGAACCCAAGACTTCTCGCCTACCAGCTGCTGCTCTCGCAGCTTCAGGGTCAGCTTGAGCTTGTCAGTAGTGGTATCCTCATTGTCATAGAAGGTATCTGATGGAATTTTCACCTCAAAGTAGGTACCCACCCAGGCATCGACCCTGTCAATGTGGTTCTTGAGCTCTGGCCGCTGGTTAGGCTCTCCGCCACGGGGCACTCCACTGGTGGTAGTACGGATACGAGTAGGTGGGGAAGCTGTCTCCAATCTGGTGATGGGTGCTTTGGTGGTGACCCGGGGTACTGGTCGGGGTGTCCGTGGTTTTTTGGTTGGCCTTCGAGTTGTGGTGGTTGAGGAATCAGTTGAAGGCGTTGCTGGTTTTGGAGTGGATACTCGTGGCTTCTTGGTGGTAGTTGTTGGAGGTGTAACAACTGCTGTGGGCTCTACATAGCCAGGAATGGTCAATGTTGGCCGAATCTGGCCAGGAACTGTGGTGCCAGCTTCTGACACCCGAGTAGGCTGGATAGGGCCCAGGGTTGGGGTCTGAATAATGGCACCTCGAGTCCGAGTGGTGACTGTGGGCTTCCCAGGAATAGGATCCCTGACAGGAGGAGCCATGGTCTCTGTTGGGGGTGCAATGGCTGGAGATGTGGGGGTAGGCACTATCCTGGATGGTGGCTCCTGGATGGCCGTGGTTGGGGGCCCAATGGCAGTAACAGGTGTAGGTGTGGCATGGATCTGCCTCCGGATTCGTTTGGGGAGAGCTGGCTTCTTATTGGCAATGTGCCAACCCACCACAGGATAACCAAGTTGGGCAGACATAGCACCCTCCCTAGCAGGAGTTTCTACACCACGAATGTCAGGCACACTATTCTGGTTCAAGGAGCAGCCTAGCTTCCATGAAAGCAGAGCTCCATTCTCTACCACTTTCTTTGCATTTCCTGGGCCAGCCATGAAAGCTGACATGTCAAATAGTCTATTATTTACTACAGGTACCAACTTCATGTTGTGAAGTTCTACTTCTGAGAAGCTCTGCATTCTGTTCAGGAGATCAATCCTTTCCTTTGGGGTCATCTTGGTGAGGTCAGCATCCAGTATCACTGTAAGGACAGTCACTGGCTCGTCAGCAGCACACGCAGATGATGCTACTTCACCAGGGTCTGATGAGGCTGCCCGTACAGACTGTGGTTCATTGTGGTCTTCAGGGTAGACCTCGATAGCGAACACACTGGAAGTCTGGGGCACATGGCTCCCATTGGCTCCCAGCCGTGCAGCGCTCACTGAGATGTAATGGACACCTTTATCGGTGTCCAGAGGGAGGCCTTCCAAGGTGTGACTGTGTGGGTCCCAATGCAGCCAAGACGGCAAAGCTTCCTTCCCTGCTGCAGACACCTGAAAGAAACATAAGTGTGAGCTATAAATGCTACCATTGTTGCATAATCTAAAATGATCACTACAGTAAACCACTGGCCTAATCTGAGTTATGTGATAGACTGAAGGAATAATTTAGAATTCCTGCTGGGAAATCCTACTCATCACCTCCAAAGGAGAGCAATAATGTCCTGTTACATGACACAGAAGACTGGGACACATTAACACACACAAACAGATTAGGATGCCATGGACCTTAAGAATGTATGGATTTTGACTGGGAATGACAGTGCACAGCTGTAATCCCAGAACTCAGGAGGCTGAGGTAGGAGGAATGAATTGAAGGCCAGTCGGGGGTACAGTCTGAGACCCTATCTCTAAAAACAAACAAGGCTAGAGAGATGGCTCAGCAGTTAAGAGAACAGAGTGCTCTTCCAGAGGACTGGGGTTTGGTTCCTAGCACCCACACTGGGCAGCTGTAACTGCAGCTTCTGTAACCTCCTCTGGCCTCCTTTAGCAACCGCACACATGTGGTGCACATAAACTCCTGCAGGCAAACATTTAGATACATAAATTTAAAAACATCTTAAAAAATAAAACCAGTGAAAACATGTAATTTAAAAAACAAAGATTCTTGTGGACTTTCATGAAAGAGATATACCCTACCACCAACTTGCCTGCTCTTACCTGTACAATCAGGTTGGAACATCTTATTCCAGCCAGAAACACCCTTTCCAATCCTCTCTACTACTCTTTGCAGACACATGCTTCTGCTCAGGTCATGCCTAGCTTAGAGTACCTTGCCTGTACACAAAAAAATCCTGCACATAAATAGGAAGTGCATGTAAGTCTGGAGATAAAGCAAGTTGATACCCTAGAATAACTTGTTTGACTATCATCACTTAATGCACTACAATAGAAGACACAATTTTTATAAAATAGTTAAGTGTAATATGTGTTAGTTTGAATGTAACTGGCCCCATAATCTCAAAGGGAGTGGCACTATTAGGAGGTGTGGCTTTGTTGGAGGAAGTGTGTCACTGTGGGGTAGGCTTTGAGGATTCCTATGCTCAGGATACCGCCCAGTGTCTCAGTTGACTTCCTGTTGCCTGCAAGATGTAGGACTCTCAGCTACTACTCCAGCACCTCGTCTGTCTGCACTCCGCCATGCTCTCTGTCATGATGATAATGGACTGAACCTCTGAAACTGTAAGTGAGCCACCTCAATTAAATGTTTTCCTTTTAAGAGCTGCTGTGGATGCCGGGTAGCGGTGGCTCATGACTTTAATCCCAGCACTTGGGAGGCAAAGCCAGGTAGATCTCTGTGAGTTCGAGCCCAGCCTGAGCTACAAAGCGAGATCCAGGACAGGCACTAAAACTACACAGAGAAACACTGTCTCGAAAAAACAAAAAATAAAAATCAAACAAACAAACAAACAAAAAGAGCTGCCGTGGTTATGGTGTCTCTTCACAGCAATAAAAACCCAAGATGTAACGATTGTCTACATTAATCCCACTTCTCAAGAACTGTGGTACCCAGGGTAGAAGGACTAAAAACAAATATTCTAGAACGATGTCTGCCAAAGGAGTCTCAAAGAATCTCTGGTCTCGGGAATTCGCTCAGTTGATAGAATGCTTGCCTTGATTGCACTAAGTCCTGGGCTTAATCTCCAGTACTGAATAAACTGGGTATGGGGATACACAGTGATTTTGATTTAATGTGAGATACCCCGTTTCATGTAGGAAGGAAGGGAAAAGAATCATCTCTAGTCTCTAAAGTAGGTTTCAGAGTGAATCAGGTAAGGGAAAGAAACATACACAGCCTGCTTCTGCCCTTGACACAGAAGAGACCTAAGGCGCTCAATTCTTTATTATCCCCAAAAGAATCGTTCAAACTTCTTTCAGTGTGCAAGTCCTTTTCCACAGTGACATAAATGGAAATACTCAGAGCACCCAAAGGAATTTCAACACAGAAACTTCTATCAGCTGGCAAGAGAGAAGTTAATACTTGCTTCTTGCCTAGGCCCCATCTTTGGCTCTGCTCACCTTTGTGAAACACATACTCCTGCCCCTGATGTAAGAAAGGTCACTCATTCTCTGCTCTGACTCAAGATGCTTTCAGCCTCAAGTCCCGAAACACAATGGCCAACAGAGGGCACATATTCAACACCACTCAGGGACTGTTCCTAATTTAAGGCCACAGCTGCTGCTGCTTCCTTTTTTTTTTTTTTTCTTTCTTTTCTTGAGACAGTTTCTAGGTGTAACCCTGGCTGTCCTGGAGCTCACTCTGTAGACCAGGCTGGCCTCAAACTCACAGAGATCCACCTGCCTCTGCCTCCTGAGTGCTGGGATTAAAGGCATGTGCCACCACTGCCTGGCCGGCCACAGCTTTCCATGGCAAAGGAGTTAAAGCCATGCCTGCTGGGCACGCAACTGGCTGCCTAGGTCTTCTTCCTGCCAAAATCCAGGAACCTGAGTATTTAAAGTGGACTCTAGTTCAAACCTAAGATTTGTACCCAGGACACATTACACCACAGATTTTTTACTTTCTACACTTCAAACTGGTTCAGACTTGTCACATCCAACAAAAAACCCAAGAAGCCAACTGACATTATGAGGAGACACCACTAGGGGGATGCTCTCTTCTCAGTACTCTCTGAACTACCACTGAGGAGTTAGTTCATGAGTGATACTTGTCTGCTTTCTCGTGAAACTGTAAACTCTACAGTGTACCATCAGCTAATAAATGCACCACAAAGAATCACCAACCCTGTCATGCACCAAACAGAAATATTAAGAAATCCATAAACATGACTGTTTTCCAATCCATGAAAAACACTACATATTTCCTTAAAACCATCTAGTTGTAATATTTTTTCAAACTTCTTCTGACATCCTGACCACAGCCTTCCCTCTGCCCAGTCTCCCTCTACTTCCCTCTCCCGGACCCACTGCTCCTTCATTTGCCTTCAGAATAACAGGCCTCCCAAGGACATCAGCTGAGGTGTTGTTCTGCTGCCATATTAGCCTGTGCACCATCTGCAGGCAGCACCTGTCGAGGCCAGAAAAGGGTGTTGGATCCCCTGGAACTGGAGTTAGATGGCTTTTAGCCAGCATGTGGGTGCTGGGAATCAAACCCAAGCTCCAATAATAAATATTTCAAGTGTTTCAGATGAAAAGTCTAAGCTTGAAATTTTTTTCAGTTCATTATGAAAGATATGAGAGTAGTTATGTAAGCACACAAAAAAGTCTTACTTTGTAAAATAATTAATTAGTTAAAAAATAAAAATAAGGGGCTAGGCAAATGGATGGAACTAGAAAATATCATCCTGAGTGAGGTAACCCAAACCCAGAAGGACAAACATGGTATGTACTCACTCATAAGTGGATACTACATATAAAGCAAAGAACAATCAGACTGCAACCCACAGAACCAGAGAGGCTATATAGCAGGGGGGACCCTGGGATGACTGTGGCTTATAATAAGTTTTGGTTTTACTCAATCACTGGGCAAGCCTCAATGAAACATTTCACTATTAGGATAAGAATTTATACTGTTATCAAGCTGATAATAGAAAAATAAATAAATAAAAATGAAAATAAAATAAATCAGGGGCTAGAGCAATGGCTCAGTGGTTAAGAGCACCAACTGCTCTTCCTGAGGACCTAGATCCAATACCTAGCACCCACATGGTGGCTCACAATCATTTGAAACTCTAGATCCAAGGACTCAACAGCCTCTTCTGGCTTCCATGGGTATCAGGTATACTCATGGTGCACAGATGTAGGCAAAATACCCATACACATAAAAATAAGTATCTTTTTAATTAAAATAAGTGATACAAAGATTTAAGGCTGAAATGGTGTGTTCATAGAACCATGAGATTGTTTACAGGGATTGCTGGGAGTAGGGGAGCTTAACAGAGGGACAGTTGGTGAGCTGAACACCTGAGGGTGTGCCCTAACCCACTCCACCCCAATGGCCACTACTGGAATAGCTGCTCGCTTTGGGCACAGGGAAGACAGGGAGGACAGAAAACAGGGTGACGAAGGCCTGGAACAACTCTGACTGTCGCCAGCTAAGGAGAAGCCACTGAATGAGTAGAGCTGGCAGCTGGCAGGACAGACTCTAGGAGATCCACAGGGCATGTCTGAGTGTTTCAGGAGCATGGATGAGTGAACAGCACGTGCTTCTGCTAGTCTGTCTCCAACTACACAAAACCAGAAAGGGCCCACTTCCTCAAAGCTTCTCAGTCTAGCTATTCTACTGACCCCCAACAGTCCAAGTTTTGATGTCAAACAATTCCTATGGAATAAACTAAGGCCACTCTATGGCCAAGATTCACATATTCTCAGCCCTGGAAGCTGTGCTGGCTTAAGTTCTCTGTCAACCTGACACAGCTACAGTCATCTGGGAAGAAGGAATCTTCATGGAGAAAATGCCTCTAGTAGACTGGCCTGTGGGCAATGCCACCCCTGGGCTGCAGTTCTGGGTACTATGAGAAGGTAGGCTGAACAAGTCATGAAGAATAATTCAATAAGCAGCACTCTTCCAGCTCCATCGGTTCCTGCCCTGACTTCCTTCAATGACAGACTGTAAGATGAAGTGTAAGAGCCGGGCAGTGGTGGTACACACCTTGAATCCCAGCACTGTGAGTTCGAGGCCAGCCTGGGCTACAGAGCAAGTTCTAGGACAGCCACAGGCTATTACACAGAAACCCTGTCTTGGAAAAAACAAACAAATAAAAAAACCCTAAATAAGATGGAAGCCATACACTTAATGATGCCAAGTAACATTAAAATACGTTAATATCATATAACATATGTAACAAAGATGAACAAAAACCTGCTTTTTTTAACTCCACTCCCAACACTGTACATTTTACCAAATCAACTATACCACTCAATTTCAAATTGGCAAACATTAATGAGAATTGCTGGCTTTAAACCAGGTGAGTTGGCTTGGGCCTAGAGTCACATCTGCAAGCAGGAGGGTCACTTGAGCCCAGAAAGAAGTTCAG